GTACCTGTATGAATTCAGCATAATCCCAAATACAACTATACCAAGAGCTGGGGACCCGGAGCATTTATCGCAGAGTATGAAAATGCCGTACACTGATACTAGTATGTAAGCCTAAATTTGTAATTCAATTTTTATAACCATGACTCTGCCCAACAAACACTCATACCTGTCTTTTTTTGTTCTCTTTCAGCTTGGAAATAATCCATGCAACGACTTTGGCACCTACGGCACCAATTAACGGAGATGCGAACACATTCATGAATAAAGAGAAAAACTGTTGTGAAAAAAGAATTTCGTCTATTTTTCCCATCTCCACCTAAACGGAAGGGAGCTACAACAACTAGAGAACATATTTTGATTCTATAGAACTTGGGTTTTGAATTTTGTAGATGAATGACGTGTATTTCCATTGGAGCATTTACTTACTTCAAGAATATGAACAAGGAAGCGATATGTAGTTAAGGCAAGACCATCGTTGAGAAGGGATTCGCCTTCGATGAGTATCCGCAAGCTATAAGGTGCGCCATACTGTTCTAGAATGGCAGTCACAGCCACAGCATCAGTCGCAATCAGAATTGCAGTAAAGAGAAAAACCTATAAAAAAGTTACATCTCTAGCAGTGACTCAAAGTTATTAACTACCGTAGAAGTGCTGAACTTCTGGGTTTGGGCCAACACAGGAATCATAAAAGCAGAGGCAACAACGAGAGTAATGAAATATACAACTGTTGTTAAGCATACAATGAGCCGAAGTCTTGCAAAAAACATGTGCGAATTCATCTTGAATGAGGATTCAAAGAGAAGAGGAGGTAGCATCACCTAGAAGAGAAGGATACAGTAAGACTTGTAGTCGCATCTGTATATCATTAAATTATCAAACCGTCATTAATGTTTGTGGATGCATTGAAACCCAAGAGTAACGACCTTTGAGATTGCCAGCTACATCCGCTGGGAGGAACTTGATCATTGCCACACTGCAAATGTAAAAAAATTGGATGCTTCCACAGACCAAGCACAGGATGTCAAAAAA